TAATTTTTCTACATTACTGTTCAACAAATAAGGAGAGTGGGATGCACTTTGTTCCTTCTAGTGCCCACGGCATATCCTGAGAGTAAATTCAATTCCAAAAGGTACACACACTCACTACTATAAAATAAATGCATCCAAAAATATCACACTGTAAATGGAAGTTGACATTTCAATACAGTATACTTTGTAAGTGGTATTATGTTAAACTTCCCATGGAATGGTATATGATTTTCTTCAAAGTATATCAAGGATTCACTTAGGCACTGGAGTTTACTTATATATTTCCTCTCATATGCACTATCTGACAATTTTAGTGCCTAGGGAATAACTGGATCTCAATTACATTTGTATGCTTTCATTAGAACAATCATCTCGGCTGGATCTAAAAATTATTATCCATTAAATAACATATTTTATTGTCTTGTTTTGCTGTTTTTCTCCTCCTAAATGTGACATGGATATTAAAAGTCTTATTGTGATATTTGTATAGGCTACCTAAACACTCAGACACAAAGAGGGTCCAGCAAAATCAGTGAATGTATATTTTTGTTTCATAAACTGCCCCTTTGTTTCTATAATATGTAGATAGACTGCAGAGACTGTGTTTCTCTATGTCACTTTCCTACAACAGAGTGAATCTGCCAGGACCCCATCTATAAGGTCGTCATTTATGGAATAACCACAAAATGTGATCAATCAAGTTATTCCAATGGAGCAATAGCCAGTGTGACCTCAACAGACTTGGGCTTCTGCAGCCAGATCTCTTTAGTGACAGACATAACCCTGGTGGGTCGGCAGCATCCTTCACTGCTCACTCTGCCATCTGCCACTGTGGAAACTTCATCATTAAAGGCAGAGTTGTTGCTGGACAAATTTGCAAATGGTTTTGAGAGCATTATTATTGCACAGAATGTTACCATCTGTAAGTAGGCAAATCTGAATTACAATGTATGTCTACCTTACTTTCTTTCTCTATGTATATCTTAATAAAAATATGCATGCATTAATCTCAAAACTGGGAACATTTTCTTTTTGCTATCCAATTATAGCTCTGCACAAAGCCTCCAAAGCTTTATGTCCTCCATTTAAATACATCCATACTTAAACTGTCACAGATCAGAGAATAGCTATTTTATTTCACATTTAGTTGTCTGGTCTTATTCACAAAGTATTTTTGTTTGATTTATTTACTTATTATGTTACATTATTACATTATTATCAAATATTCACATTTATATGTGTGTATATATATAGTATAGCATTTTAAAAATATTATTTATTTTATGTGATAAATTATTCTTATAATATAACACATTTATTATATAACACATTATTTTTTAAATGATATATATTTTAGCTTTAAAAATTTTTTCATTATATCTTTGAGGTAGTACCACCTTCCTTCTTGCAACTTTCAATACCATGGAATAAATTATAAAGCTTATAAAAACAATATAATGAAAACACTAAACTAGAATTTCCAATTCATAAGCCAGGCAGTTTTATGTATATGATATGTATGAAATGTGTACGTGTGTAAAGAATATGTATATTCTTTAAGTTCTAGTGCATAGTATTGGGATTATTATAATTGTGAGCAGATTACTGAATGCCTACTCCATTTTTTGCAGTTTACTATACAATAACTCCCTGAGTAAGTTGAAGTTTAATTGTGCAACAAATTTACATTAGAATACCATGTAAAGTATTTTTCTCTATAGCCTTTTTTGAATGGGGAAGCAGAGCGGTGTTGATTAGTATATTTTGTCCCTGCATTATCTCTGTTTCTATAAGATATGGTGCCCTGTGGATCTCAGAGAGCTAGAAAATGCTGTCCTTTGCTCCTGTTTGTGGGTTCTGTTATTGTGTGTGTGTTTTTTTTTAGAAAGTACGTACAATAAAATATCCCTTGCTTGTTAAGGAATCCCCCCTCGCTCAACCTGTGCCTGTGTCACTGGTAGTTATAAGATTATAATACTATAGTATTTTATATCATATTATGTTATGGATATTGTATTGTTATTGCTCTTCTGTGAAGAAGAGCTAGTAAAGAAGCATGGATGCAGGAAAGAAGTTTAGATCCATGTTTCCTCATTGACAAGGTCACAGAAAACTATGAGCAGACATTCAAAAACTACCTCTGCAATTCTCACTCTAGTCCTTCTTTGATATTAAAAAAATCATAGTAAATTAAATATTTGGGGATGCCCTATTGTAAAGTAGATTTCTAGTGTATGAATAATGGTAAAATTATATAAAAATAGTAAAACATGGTCAACTCCAAATTATCTGCCAATAAAGACTTCTGTTCATCAATGTCATACAAAATAAGGTGTGGCAGCATTTTAACAATGGAAATAAACATATGAGTAACACTAATACCTTTTCCATTCATCTTTGTTTAAAAAAAAAGAAAAAGAAAGAACCAACAGGACCCAAATGGAATCGCTTGCCCCTAGGACAACAAACCAAGACTTAATTGCAGTTTCAATCTCTCCCAGGAATTTGACCTAAAACCAATCAGTTCGGAATTTTTTGATCAACACTAGAGAGGTAGTCTGCCTGACAAGACCCCTGCGACACCCAAAGGAAGGTGCCCTGGACTGAAATAATCCTTTCTTTTCTTTTGCGAATAACTTCCTTGTCCCCCCATTTTTTGCCCATAAACACTTTCCATTTCATACAGCTTTTCACAGCATCTTTTCCTTATGTAGCTGGGATATGAGTCATTCAATAAAACCATTAAGATCTTTAAAGTTTATGCGGTTGAATTTTTGTAATTTAACAGCTTATAATAAAATCATATAGTTTTGCTTAAAATTTATGTTTGTAAATGATGTGATAACACAAAGCACTAGAGTTAAGAGACTATGAGAAATTACCTTTTTTTCTGATTAAAAAAATGGTAATTATAGCACTTTGTACTATCAAATATGGCAATGTACTCAATGCTTTCATTTTTTTCTTTATCTCTGATTGAAAAGTCTAAAGTCTGGAAGAGTGTAGGGTGTGTGGGAAAGATGACCAACCTCTGGCAAAAACTCTCAGGACAGATGATGTGAGTTGAAAGAAAGACGCTCCTGCCCTTGGATTGTCTAAAAAAAGACAGCTTCTTCTCATCTGCTATGTGAGGTAAATTTAAGAAGACTGTTGGGAGTTTGGTTGAAAACAAATATTCATGTAAAGGAAACACACATAATTTCTAAGGCCATCGATGTTCTTAAGTTATTCTATTTAGATGAATAACGCTGAGGTTTATTTTAGCTTGGGATGCTATAACAAAATGTCACAGATGGTGGCTTAAGCAATAGATATTTATTTCTCACAGTTGTGAAGGCTGGATAGTCTAAGGTCAATGGGCTGGCCAATTTGGTTTCTGGTGAATCCCCTGTCCTGGCTCGCAGATGGCCACCTTCCTGCTGTGTCCTATGATGGGATGAGAGAGAGAACTCTGGTCTGTTTTCCTCTTGTAAGAACACCAATCCCATCATGAGCACACCATACTCATGGCTCCATCTGAGTTTAATTTCATCCCAATGGCCTCACCTTCCAATACCATCACCTAGGGGGTTAGGGCTCCAATAGAAATTTTGCAGGGACACAAATATTCAGTGCATAATGAGACTGTTAGAGGGATTAGATGTTCTAATAAAATAACCGAAGAAGAGGAGGAAGTATTTGCAAGCATTCTGGTTGTAACATTCATGCAAGTGACAGTGGAATATTATTATAGTCCCCTTTACTATAATATTTAAAAAATTATACTATGAGTTAAATCAGAGTGCTCCAAATTGTATTGACACTTGAAAATGAAAAAATAGAAACTATAGTACCTGTGATTTAGTGTTCTTTAAAATTAAGTTGAGAATAATACATAGATGTCAAGAAGAATGAAGAAGTTTTGTATATGCTGACATGGAATGACTGGATGTATTTTTTAAAATCTTTTAATTCAGTTTGAATATCTGTATGAATTGATTAGAAAAAACACCCAATGACCTTATTTCCTAGTTTTGGCTGCTGAAAAACAATAACTTAATAGCCATGGATATATTTATTACCTTGATTATTATCTATATTAGTTATTATATTTCCATAAAAGTACCTGAAGAATGACTATTTCTAAATCTAAGACAGGATATTTACAATAAACCTGAGATTTGGCAGTGACCAAAATGTGGAAAATATGGTTTATGTTGAAAGACCACAGAAGCCAAAATAAGGAGAATCTCAACAGCCAAAAAGGGTAAAATTTGGAATATTTTAAATTTGAAATATTTTAAATTTTACCAAAGATGGTAAAGAGAATAATGAATATAATTTATTGGAACACATTCAGTATGTAAAAACCCTTAAGGTCATAACATATGAGAGAGAGAGAGAGAGAGAGAGAGAGAGAGTGAGAGAGAGAGAGAGAGAATGAACAAAACAACACAAAATTCAACTCTTTTAACTACATTATTTAAAAGCCAAAACTAAGAATAAAAATTTACCTGATTTTCTTTTATGAACCGAATTTGAAGACAACCAGCCTAATAAGGAAATATCCTTTAAGAATTCTTACTGATGCATGTTCATGAAATAATAAAAATAGAAAATCACAATTTTGTAATCTCTAGTAAGATCATTGATATTTACTTTAGACCTTATCATCAGAAAGTGAATTTGCAACTTCTCTATGGAGAGAAAAAGGCTCTCTATAATAATGAAAGGATTGTATAAAAAGATTAAATGAATATTGATTTATAACCTAGAGACTAGGAATGTTTTTTATAGCAAACTATATTTGGGAGAATATTTGAAATATAAAATATTGTTCACTTAAACTTTTAAAGTGTTTTTTGTAGAAAGTTAATTTTATTCAGCACATTTGTGATGATTTAGTCTCAGATTATGACCTCAGTGATGCAGCTCTCAGTAACTCGAGTGCTGTAAATGGAAAATGCAGATTTCTTAGCATGGGGAACATTACTACAATACTTTCTCCTCACAAAATATTATTATTATTTTAATGCTTCACAAATTTGGGTGTCATACTTGAACAGAAGTCATGCTAATCTTCTATGTATCATTTCAATTGTAGTATATGCACACATAATATTATTTTAAAAGTAAGATAAACAGTGGTTCTGTCATATTAGATTAAAAACTAAGAGTAGAAGCTTAGTGGATCATATCCATGATCAATGTTCCAGAAGTGACTGGCAGCAGTGTGAATGCTCTACTGTATACAGGGGATCAGATGGGTAATGTTGTAATGACCTGAACTCAGGCAGCAGCAGAGAGAATGGACATGATGACCTGAATTTACCAGTGTTTCAGAAGTGGGGAAGGGGCATGGAGAAGAGGAAATGTTAAAGGGAAAGTTGAATATAAGTGCAATTTAATAGCTTGGATGAATGATTGCCTGGCTTTTCAATGAGCGACGAGACCCAGGTTGCACAGTGTTGAGCAGTGACTGAGAGATGAGGAAAAGCTTTTTGAAAGCTCCATACAACTGTATAACAGCATGGCATTTAAGACATTTAAAAGTCTAAACCTACATTTTATTCTCATCTCTTTTTACTCTCTAATAAACCTTTTCCTTACCCCCAGTGTCCCCTGTCAAAGATCTAATACGTCAGTGACACAAACCTGTTATGCAGTTTCCCATCTAGTGTTATTTATAGCATCTTTTTTTCCAGTGTGAAATGACCCTTCTCTCACATATCTGCTGGTTTAAATCACACCAGTGCTACCAGGCTCCCCTGGAGCGTTGTGTGTGCTTCATCCCCCAGACAAGATCTGTTACTCCTTCTTCTGTGTCTCCATAAACATAAGTTCATAGCTTTATTACAGTGCTCATCACATCAAGCTATTTTAAATTGCATGCTTCAGTCTATTTTACTAGAACATAAGTGCTTAAAGGCTTAACTTGCTTTGTTGTATAAATAAAACGTTCCTTATGTAAATTGCTATGTATTATTTAACATTAATTAATTAAGACATATTTACCTACTCTCGTCATTCACATGCTAAGTTGCTGATGTTGCAACCATAGATCTATTGTTATGGTCCCCGCCCTCCCAAAGGCAATCGATGACACAGATAATCAGGGAGACTAATAAAACAGAGCACCATAAGTTTAGAAATCCTGAGGATGATGATAATGATGATGTTAGCTAACAGTCATTGAGCACCTTTATGCGCCAAGCATGGTTCCACGCATTGTGCATGTATTATGTAATCTAATCTCACAACAACTCAGTGACAAGGAAAGTAGAGAATACTTTCATAGGTATCACTAAGAAGACACTAACCAACACTAGGAATCAGTGAAAACTTCCCGCACAAAGTGAAGACCTGAAAAATGACTAGGGTTTGGGCAGGTAGAAGGACGAGATGGAGAGAGAGAGAAAGGGAGAAGGGAGTGGAGGGGAGGGAGGAGGAGAGAAGATGTGTGTGTGTGTTTGGGTTAGAAAAAGGAAAAGTGTTTCTAACAGGAAACAGAGGCCAAAGGTCAATCAATATATGTACTTAGTGGATGTTGGGATTTGTACTTCCAAAGTCAGAATATATTACGGAGCTTAATTCCTTTAGGAACAGTCACAAAAAGCTAAAAACTAGACCAGATCCATCATCTTCATTGTACAGATATGAGCACTGAATCACAGTTGGAGGAACGAGGTCCCAATGCCACACAGAGTTGTTGACGAGAGTCAGCTCCCAGGCCAGGCTCTTTCCAGGGCTCCACGCTGGTGCCTCTGTGGATGGTTAAACGGGTTCTACCTCAGCCAGCCAGCAGTAAATGTATGCACACAAATAATGCATTAGGATTCGCAGCCAGTGCACCTCAGTGAATGTTCTTCTCTTGATTATTATTTAATAAGAAAATTATAAATTTGGGGACATAATAGTACATATCTGTACTTAATCTCTAAACAGATGTGAACTAGAAATGATTCCTCTCAATCTTTTCCTCAACACATCAGTTTCATCCTAAAAATGTGTCATCACTTTTTCTCTTGTAGGTTATAATAATTTCATCTTAATCTTATCCCTGGTGGACGGTATTAGTTTAGCCTTATTTTGAGTTGTAGGAACATGGCCGTTGGAGGCAGAGATACTAGGGTAGGGTCTCAGTTCTGGGTCTGGCACTTACCAGCTATGTTACCTTGGGCCAGTCACATGACGTCTCTTGTGGGAATTTAAGGGATAACATGCATACAAAGTACAATGCACAGTGCTTGCTACATGGTACCTTTCGAAAACATTTAACGTGCGAGATATGCTTTTTAACACCAAATCATAAAATCACAACTAAAAAGAGTCAGCTGCTTTAGTCCTTCACTTTGCTGATAGGCTCTGTAGGCTGGTAAAGTTTTTACCTGCTAACATGAAATCCCCATTTAATTTATGGACTTCGTAAGAGCAAGGACTATGGATTTCTTATATATTCTGGCATCTGACAACGTGACAAGCACACAGTGAACACATAAATAGTGGTTGGATTATCTCATTACTTGATGTCTGAGCCAAGGCTAAAATTCAAGCTTCCCGATAGCTAGTTCTGGGATTTTTCTTTTACAGCACCAAAAATTAAGGTAAAATAAAAACCCCTGGTTCTTCATTTTGTAAAGAATATTCTGGGAAAAATTTGGCTTTAGAAATTTCAAGTTATTCTATGGTGTTCCAATATGTTGCTTTTCATTCTGCCTGGGCCCCCTTGGTACAAATTCACATGAATATGGATAGTTGGAAAGGGAGTACGGACTTCAGTTGAGCAGTTAGGAAGTGAGGCAGTGCTTAGTGTGAATGCCCTGCTGGGTGGGGGATATATGGCATGGCTCAGGCGCTGTGTTTATGCATTTTGAATTGCTTTCTTTACAACTCCAGTCCAGAGGAAATATCATCACTGAGCCAAACTGGGGCAGACCATTCCAACGCAGTGAAGTGGAATCGGGAAATCTCAAATAGGCATCATACCCCTTGAACTTGGCCACAGCTAAATATGTAGAAAGAAATCCCACAATGAGGTCCTTTGATATACTATACTTAACCACAATTATAACCTTATAAAGGGACTACGAGCAAATATTATTTCCAACCCCCCTCAAATTGCTTAAGCTGTGGAGTTTCCAGCCTTAATTTTAGTAGCAGCGTTAGCAGCTGATGGAAATAATGCTGTGGACTGCAGATGTGTAATACCATAGAAACCTAACCAGTTTTGCTTGATGGAATGACATCAGATTCTTCCAAAAACCTAGTGCAAGCTTTTGGAATTCATCTACCTTCTAAAATGAAAACGGCCATCACTGTATGCCTAAACAGTGGACCGTGGTTCCCACTCCTCTTTTTCCCTCTTCCCTCTTGGGTCAGTGATAAAATATACATGAAACACATGATCCCTGTCTGCCAATTATGGTTGGAACTATAACATTATCCTTTAACTTAACATTCATGAAGCAATTTGCTATAAGAATGAGGGGTGATGTGCTGGCTTTCATACAGTAAACTGTGCTAACTGCTTAAAAATGCACACAATTTAGGAGCTGACAGGTTCAATTCTCAAGCAAAGGAGGTATACTGTGATGTTTTGGCATGGGTTAAATATTCACTCATTCTGCTGCCCTGTCTGTGGGAAATATGCTAATAGACTATCACAGAAGCCTTGGACTCCCAGGGACCTGGAAGCACGGAATTCCAGAGCGGGGAGGCCATGGGTCTCATTGTATTTGATTATTGTAAATAACCTTGGCTTTAGTATTTTGATTGATCTGGAAGGTATTAACAAGGGATTTGTATTACAAATAGAATCCTACAAAAACAAATCCTACTTCAAGAGTCCTTTCAGTTTACTCTGATTAACGCCTAGTCTTTGGTATGCAAACGTATCCTGACTCTTCATCCACCCTTGTAACAGTCTTCACCCCACAAATTAAACTGGCCTTAAAATAGTATGTTTTCACACATCCCATTTTTCAGCAAACAAAACAAAGCCTAAGTGAAAATAACAAACCTCTTCTTTTGTAGGAAATTTTTAAAAGTCCTTAATACTAGGGAAGTTTATATTTTAAGGGAAAGGAAAGCCAAAAGTCTGGTTTGGCAGAGGGAATAAAATTGCAAGTTAAGAAATGGAAACAGACTATTTATTTCTCAATTACAACAGAAAAAAAATAAATCTATGGCCTGTGGTCAGGTGTCCCCATTATGAAGTTCATGACTCAGAGCAGGAAGTTCACTGAGGGTCAAGTTTACTAGATATTCCTCTGGATATGTTTAAATATATAAAATGAGAAAATATTTTAACACACTTATGTTGAACTTGGAGTGTCTGACACAACTGAAATTTGAACTTTGTTGCATGGATTCCTAATAGGACTGAGGGTTTTCCTCTCCTGTTCTGGTTAGTACCCATGTCATACGTTTATGTTTCTTTCTGGAGAGATAGGCTACCAGAAGAAGAGGAGGTGAAAAAATAGATTGAGATAGTACACAAAATTTCCCTAATTAAATGTAAAGTGTGGCCTTCATGTTATTTCTGTCAAGTGGTGAGCTTGTTGTCACATAATAATCACATTCATATTCTCATTTTATGACAATTTTATGGTACCCTTGTGTGCCAGGTACTCGCCTCTTACGTAGATACTTTTCTCAATCAGCCAGCCGAAGGAAGTGTGTACAAGTTGCTGTAATATTAGAAATCTACTCTGGCAGCCCATTTCCTGTTTGGATGGCTTTTAGTTGCTCTTCAATATATTGAGCCAGGACACAGACATAAACATTAACCCTGGCACTGCAACCTTGTTGGCTCATACTGTGCTAAAATTTATGAGGTCTCCTCATAGAATTAAGACTCCAGTAGTGATTTAAACCAAATTAATCACACTGGACATATTGGTTAGGTTCAACTGTGGATGTCTTAATTTGGTTGGGGGTGCATTCACCAGCAATTACAATAAATACAAGAATGTTTATTATTTTCTCCCTGACAGGATAAACTAGTAAGTATAACATAATTTAATTGTTCAATTATTCAATTTTCATCAGCCCTTCAATGTTTAAAATATGTCTTATAGTAAAAACGTCAGAGTATATTTAAAAGTATATGTAATATAAAGCAG